TGGAAAGAGGCAATGAAGCTTGGTGGAGGCGCTCAGAATTTGAGTGGATCAGTTGTGAGTACGGGGCACAGAATTCACCCAAAGATACATGGTAAGTTTCATGTTTCAGGGATGAGCTTCTGTCTTCCTGGTTTAGTTTATCGTTCCAGTGCCTGTATGGTAGCGAAATGGTAGGTCTGTGTGTCAGTTAGTAGGCAAGTGAACACTTCTAATCTAGTCCACCCAACCCAAAATCGACCAAGCCTTGAACCAACACGCTACTTTTGGGCTGGCACCTAGTGCACTCTGTACTGTGAATCTTGACACCATGATGATTCGCTATTACACTCCCTGGAATTCTCATGGAAGTGAAGCATATGGCCCTTTGGATGACCGTTTTCCTCTACTGGCACCGGTGGTTTTCCCACGACTTCCGTTGAGCCGCCCGGTTCCGGTGCACCAGTGCCTCCAGCCCCTGGTTCGGCAGCTCGCGTGACCTGCGCGCCCGGCTGAACGTCCAAGAGCTGGGCGTTCACCGAGGAATTGGAGGAGCTGCGCCAGGTGGGCCAGGGCGGCAGCCTGACAAACAGGAGCCGAATGGATGTTTCATCATGTTCCCGTCTTCACTTTTTGCATGTTTCGAGGATGATAAAGTCATGGGGCATGTTGAGGTTGCACGCACAAACACCCGTGAATCAACCTCTTTCTTTCGCAGAAGTACTTGCTTCCATCCTAGGTACAGCCTCTTCTGGCCGCTGGAACGTGTCAGAACCACGTGTCCGACATGGGGGCATTCGACTTGACAATGGCTTGGCCATGTGGGCATGCAGCGGCATGCAGCGAAAGGGCCATGTTGGAGCTTCATGCCATCTTGGCTCTGCGCACAAGATTGGTTTTGTTCAGAATCAGATGCTGTAAATTGTCGACATCTATATGAGACAACACTGGTGTCATGAAACGAGATCCCCAGCTGAAGAATGTCACCACCAGGGATGCGATCCAACCATTCCGCAAGTTGGCAGACACTGTGATGCCCAAGAGCTTTTGCTTGTCATCATAGACACTCAGTCTCCGCTCAATGGCCTGCAGGGCTGCAATCACCTTGGTGTGGTCCGGCAAATGCACTACCTTGAGCATCGCCTCAGTCAAAAAGAGGGTGTCGCGGGCCAGGACGTTATTGATTCCAATGCACACTTCGAAGACCCTGAACATGGCAAAGGTCAGAACTGAGGACAGCATGAGAATCAACAAGAAGCCTGGGGAGAAAGGATCACTATGAAGAGACCATTCCACGATGCCAGTGAACAGGAGGCCAAGGAGAAGCAAGAACACAATGGCCCCACAAGCATCCATAATGGCAGATTCGTCTTTGAAATCAATCTGAATATATCTTCGCACTGCCCACCATGCTTCAACGTCCTCGACACTCTTCACGTTCGCCAGAACCAAGCGATCAAAGTCGTCGATCTTTTGAGTCTTCTGGGCCACGGGTTTCTCCTTGGGTTCGCCATCTGTTTGCCCCGAGCGGCGTATGACCGGCTTGATGAATGAGCCTTGAAAATGCAAGTATTTCCTTTTCAACCTCTCATCCGCTTTCAACTTGCTATCTTCCAAAGCTTGCCTTTCGGTCGCATTCAAGTACTCAACGGAACCAGAGGAGATACAAGAGAAAACCAGCAATTGGACTTGATTCCGTTTCATCCCCATGGTGGATGAAAAGATTCCAGAAATCGTATTGTTCCAACTCAAGCTCGCTTGAAGAGCTGTTATCACCTTCACAAAAAGATCCCACCATGACACTCCCTCCATGGGGCCAGAGACGAAGTCTTTGGCCGCTTCAAAGCTCCAAAGTTCACTCCATGAGACACCGGGATGCGAAACTCTGGACTCCCCCAGTGGAGTTTCGAACTCCTGACTCTCAAAGCTGTTTAAACTCCTCAAAAGCCTCACCTGCAGAAGGAGCATGCCTGCAAACATCAGAAAGGTTGAGGCTCGAATCAGGACTTTTTCGAAGCTCCATCCAGACTGGGTGACGGACCAGCGTGCCTGAGAGACCTTGGAGAAACTATCTAAGACTTGGTCCAGCTGCCAGCTGTCTGGAAAGATATTGGCAAAGGAGCGCACAATTTGATCCACGCCTGTTTTGGAACACTTTCTCAACTCCTCGCACTTGTGCCAATGAACCTGCGCTGACACTTCAATGATGTGTATTGAGAGAATGCGCCACAGCACGATCGAACCCACACTGAGTATGTCTGAAATCTGATTCACCTGCATCTGCCCCACGATGGAGCGCAAGCTGGTACCCTCCCTGAAGGTTTCCCAGCTACGAATCACAAAGAAGATGTCATTATACACATTCAAAAAGAGAATGGTCCACATCCAGAATTCCTGAAAAAGTGCATTTCCCCTCACATAGTGTAACAAATGCCATTTCTGCCAGCCGCAGGAGACAAACATAAATGGTACGACAATAATGCTTGCACCTGGGATGATGCAAGACATTGCAACCAAGCCCAGCCAAGCCACTCTCATCCAACTCGATCCAATATCTGCAAGTGGCGCTGCTATGGTGCTCTCTTTCTTGAATACCTTGTTCAATAGTTTCTGCGCGTTATCTACTTGATCTTGTCCAGCTCCATCCGCACAGCCAATCTGAGCATCGACATCACTACGTGACGCATCACCGGAAGGATTTCTCACCGGCGCCTGCCTCTCCTTCGTGTCTGGATGACAAGCTCTTGGGGACGAAGCTGACGAGGAGCTCTCGTCGTTCGACGACCTCCCATCCGACTTCGACGAGGACCTCCCATCCAACGTCTGCACCACGTCCACGGTGGTTTCGTCCTTCGCCGGATCCGCTGGTCTCGTCGTCTGCAGACCGTTCCGCGCCTTGCTTTTCGCGGGACGACTCACAGGGCGCATGGAGGAATCAGGGGTCCGACCCCTGGAATCGCCACAAACAGCCTGTGGATGCCCTTGGCCCGTGGGTTTGTGGAAAGTGGAAGATGTTAAATGGTTGTGTTCCGAGATTATACGTCTTAATTTCACATCTGGATGGGTCTGTGCTCTCGTATCTGCATGTCATTCTCGCCTTTTTTGCATCATCTACTCAGCTTGAAACCCTTCTGAGCCAAAGGTTGCCATGTTGAAGTCTACAGGCTAGAACGAATTTCCAAGAACAACAGTGAGAACAACATGCACATAGGCAGAAAGGTCTGGTAAGAAAACACAAATAAAGTCTTTTCGAGCAAGAAACCACCAAACATCCTTTCTTCTGCATTTCAAACGCCTTATGGTCAAGCCAGACATACCAAACATCACAAAAACTTCAACCTTCAGCTGTGCAACACAGCTTGCCCCTGCCTGAAATAGCGCGATGGCCGACACGAAGACATCACCGGTACCTGCAGGATCGATCGGTGAAGCTGTGCACCTGGAGTCTCAGCTCCCTGCCAAAATGGGTGCAGATCAGAATCTACAGTGGTTTCAGAGTAGATGGCGCAATCCCCAAGTTCGGTGGTTTATATGGACCCCCATGTGAAAGACATCTGTGGGTTTGTGCCATCTATTCTGAAACCACTGTATTATATAACTGTTTTTGTTGGGTTCAGATCTCATGTCAGTCATGTCGTCCCATGTGACAACGGGTACCAACTGCAGTCCGGAATTGACAAGACTCGACCCGCTGCCTCCGATTTTTGTTGATTTCTGGCACGCCCAGTCGACCGGCATCGACGGAGTTCGGTCCGTCATAGCACGACATACAAGACATGGTTAAAAGGATGTAGATCGTGTGTCAAGGCACATCCCAAAAAAACTGACCTCTTTTTTCTGGCCTCTAAGACTCTATCTCATCCTTTATTCATGTATCGTGTATGTCGTTTCTGCTGTCCACCCTGCTTTAAAAACCGGTGCATCAAGCTCCTATAGATCAGATCAGACAGGATCCCGATCCCTTCGCCCCCCTCTGTGACACCCTGTTCGACCCTGTTGGCCCCCACGTCGCATCCGATTCTCTTGGCACTTGCTTGCTTGGGAAGGTGCTTGCTTGAAAGGCCAGACCTTCAGCATCTAAGGAGATCGGCTCTCCCGACCTCGGAGAGCCACATCTGAATAAATCCAAAAAGGGACCGGAGGCGGCTTCAGATGTGATCTTCAAGCTGGCCTTTTTGGGGTCTACGTGTGGGGAGAGAATCGCTGGACGGCTTGACCGAGCCGAGGGCGGTCGTGAAGGACCGTCCAGTCAACCCGGGTCCCGCTCAACGGTTTGGCACACGATGACGAGACGAACATGGTCACCTGGCATGCAGACGACAAATGTGAATGGCATATGATATTTCAAGGAATCTCCCTGTAAACAAAGGCATCTCTGATACTTTCCACGTTCTTTGAGTGTATCCTCCCTCAGACCGTCGTGGCAGTTAAAAATTCCACGCGAAAAAAGAAAGAAGAAGGTGAGTTGCACAATCATACTATTTTCAGATGGATCTATAGATATGTCATGATATGTCTAGATTCGAGATCCCATTTGTTCCCATTCGTTCTCACCCTGTGGTGTTGCCTCGCAGAGTCAAAACACTCTCACCCAACCGCTCCGTGCACTCACCCCCCTCCGCATGGCTAGCCGTTGAACCCATCGCACCGCCCTCCGAAGCATTCGGAGGTAGGCCAAACTGACCCCAAAGATGGCTCACTTGACAGACCTCGTATGTGTTACCACATGTCATCTGTACAATGCAGCTATGTGTTCTTTTTAGTCTACAAATATCGTACAACATCATTGTGCTAATCCATGTTGATCCAATGTTTTCAGACTTCAGCTTCTATGATCGGTCCGGACGCCGTCTTTTCCCACCCGGAACCATCCGGAACCGTCCGCCGTCCGTTTGTTTGGGAGGGTCGAGATCGACACGAACCCTCGCTGTCGCCTGAATTCGGAGCATCCGGAGGCATAGGCCGACCCCACCCTCAAACCACCTGGGCTCGCCGCGCCCGCGGCAGCAGCCTCGGAGCGGCCCTCAAACCACGCTCCGCGGCTCCGCGGCTCCCAGCTGAGCGCGGCCGATTTGCCGAGCGCCGCCTGTGGACGAGCGAAATCGGAAGGCGCCCGTGGGGCCCGGAGTACCACCACTCCAAATGCAAGGGAAGGTGATGAGATGCGATGAGATGAGCAGGTGAAGGGAACAAGAGAACAAGAGTTACATTGGCTCCCGAGTTCTTCCGATAAACCCAAGTCTAATTCGTTTCAGGCAGGTGCAGTTTGTAGATCCCTTGGCCGAGGTGAATATGCCAACTTCCTCCAGAGGTCGCTCACGCCGCTCTGCCTCACTTCACTCAGACTTCCGATTGACAGATCTCCTCGTTCGGGTTGTGAGGCCCTTTTTTGGTCTCGATAAGGTCTTGACCTCGATTTGGATGACCTCTTGGAAACAAACAGTTAGACAAGTAAGTCAAGCAAGTGATTAACCTCCAAAGTGCCTGCTTCAAGGTCTGGATTTGGGGGACGTCTTGGAGCTTCTATTAAACAGTCCAAGTCACATCACACGCCCCCTTGTGGAACCGCTCATCCACCGAACCAACCCAGCCATGGTCTTCTCCGCCGACCATGGACTCCTCCGCCGATGTTTCGGCCGTTCAGCGAGGCCGAGGTTTCAAGCCGCGCCTCGTTCATCCATCTCCTGGCAATGGAGAAACTGAACCGAGGCGAACGTGGCACTGGGGAGGACATCAACTGAAGCAAAAACAAGAATCGAAAACCAAGTCAAGCAAGAACTAGAGCACTGGCAGAATGGCTTCAGAATGGCTGAAGAGCAAACCATTTCTTAACTGGTAGCAAATGGATCGGATCGTTCGGTTGGCTTTTCACCTCCAGGTGAAAGCAGAAAACAGGTGGGAATGTGTAGGATCGATGTCTAATTCCCAAACCAGTCTTATGGAGTTTTTTGGGGGGTTTTGACTTCATAAGCAGGGGTTTGGACACCTTTGAGTGTCCTTGATTCTTAGGGTTGTGTCTTTATCCGACTCTACTCTATCATCCCACTCAAAAGAAATCCAGGGAGCCATGATTGTCCATCATAGCTTCACCAACCCGGGTGCCCGCAATTCCAGCTCCCTAAACCACTCAACTCACTTCCAAACCCCCCCAAACTACTACTCCTTTTGTCACATCAAACCCAAACATCCACCGGCCCATCTACCCGCTCTTCACATGGTTTTCACCCCACGTTACACCCTCCAACCCCGCCTCTTGCAAGGCTTGGTGCCGCCTGCTTCTGCATCTTCGGCTGCGCAAGTAGCAGCAACATGCAAGGCTCAGAAGGACCAGGCCAAGAACCTCAGTCTAGTGATCCCAATCACACCACTCTCGTTTTTCAAGATTCCGAACACCAAACATCTCCGCCAAATCGTCTACATCAAGCAGATCCATTGAGGATGGCTGGGAATATGTCAAAAGAGGTTCAAAAGATGATGGGAATACGGTCTCAATCCGACTTCGCTCTTGGAAGGACCTGCACTGTGACCTGCACCATCCATTGTTCCATCGTCCAATGCCATCCAACCCGCAGTTCCTTCGCCACGCCACGCTGGCCACCGCAACCAGTGCCGCTCCGCTCGTCGTGGAGCGCGGATGCCCCGGCGTGACCGGCGTGGTCGGCGTGTCGAAGGCCAGGCGAAAGAGGACGAACTGCGTGCCGAGTTGACCTTGGAGGTCTTGCATCTTGAGTTGACCTGTGGCTGAATTTCATAGGACTTCTTTAGGTGAATCCTTAAGAATTGGTTGATGAATCAAAGATAATCAAAGCAAGTAGTAGGTGAGTCCTCCTTAAGATCTGTTGACCAAGGCTCATCAAACCCATAGTGGATGGAATCCTATATAATATAGGTTGGATTGAAAGCGACTAAGGTTCTAAGGGTTCATTGCGGAGAGAATGCAGTTGTTCCTGAATGGAGAGTCAATGTTCTTGTACCGGGTATGTAGGATTGAGTTGCAACTGGAATGATCTTGGTACATCTTGGTCGTTTCCAAAAGCCTAGCAGTCTTGCTGTGCTGAAATCGGACCATTAATCCGTTGCTGTTTCTTGGTCTTTTTGTGGAGCCGACACCAACCAGTCGAAGCTTTTGCATGCATTTGCCAGCCGAAAAGCGCGGGTTGTCGTTGTTGTCGTTCACCAGGAGCACTGCCACACCACCTGGGTACTCATGGCAGTTTCATGTCCATCAAACTTATGCTTTTCATGGACAACATGCGACCACATCCGATAGAGAACTGGAAGTTTGGAAGATAGGATTCCCAAAGGCAGCTCCAAAAGAAGGAAAGACCTGTGGGCAAGGAGAATCAAGCCTCTAGGTGTCCAAAATGCAATCAGTGCAGACACCAGCGGACCTCGAAGGACCTCGGCCCAGCGGACCCGTAGGGAATGGATCGAAGACTGTTTGCTCTCTTGTTCGTTCTTTTTCGGTATGCTGGACGGATGCTGGACCATTCAAGAACAGAAGTACCATTGGCAAGTCCAAAGGTCCACATTCTGTTGACCTGGTGGATTTTTGGCGTCTCTGAAGGTCCGACAAAACCACATCAACACCCAGGGAGGCCTAAAAGGGCCTCGCAACGTTGCAGAGAAATGCAAAGAAAGCACTGAACGTGTGTGAGTTATGTTGACCCTGAACATACTAGCCCTCTCCGACATCCCTGTCTGCATTCGATGTCATCCTCCTTCTTTATATCTTCGCCCCTCACACCTTCCCCCCTGTAGAAACAAAATCTCCTCCGGTTGCTGGGTCAACACGACCCACCAGCCTGAGTCGCATGAGTCGATCCATTTGTAGACGTCGTTTCCCACGTCGTTTCCCACACCGTTCGACTTCTCCTTCATCTCCCTCATCGCCGACGAAAACCGCCGACTCACCGTTCGACGAAACGGCTTCGACTGCTCCCCAGGTGCCAAGTTCTTCATAGCTCTGATGCCTCAGTCGCTCGCTCGCCAGCGTGGCTCCAACCAGGCGACCGCGCAGTTTCTGGTACAGTCAGGGATTGAGAGTCGAGCTGATTGGGACCCGAAGCACTGACTTGATCAGGCATGAACTTCATAGATTACCAAAACAATCCAAAACAAATAGTCACAAACAATACCAGCAGCAAGGCAATTAAAAAATAATTCCGTCATGCATGACTGCTGGCGCTTCGGTGTCTTATTTCTTTTGCACCATCGAGAGGTGTTTCATTGAGAGGTCTTCACCATGAGTTTTTTGAAGGTCTTGAAGTGCTTTTCTCAGCCCCAAAAGCTCTTGGCAGTTGATCTAAAAGGAACTAGCACAGTATGTTATTGGCATCAGTGAAGATTGGTTTCACTTCAGGGGAGTCCATTGGTCTCAAAGCAGGACGCCCTCTCCAACACATGACCGGAAAGCTCAACTCCGGAAAGAAGCACGATCTCCAGGTGTAGGGGTCTAGCTGATTGCAGACCTTCCATCAAAGTAGAAATCCTCACCTCATCTCACTTCTATGCCATTTGGCTAAGACCTCCAAAGAACACATCCAAACCCACCCAGCCACTTCGAAGACCGTTTTTGCCCTCCCAGGCGCCCAAAGGCTTCCGGTGGCACCACCGCCATCGCCTCGTAGTTCTCCACCGCAAGGCCCTCCAAGGGCGCTGAGGGCGTCCAGTGGAGGAGGAGCGACTTTCGGATGGCCGTCAGGTCCTCTGCCCGGTGAAAAACGGGACATCTTCGAGGTCAGAGGTCAGGCCAAGGTGTGAGCAGAAGGTCGGAGCCGAGGTGATGGAAGATGTCTCATTGCAAGTGGAAAAGCTCCTTACTTGGTGGCGAGGAACGTGTTTTTTGGGCAATTTCCCATAGGATTGAGGGAAAAAGACTAGATGTTTCTGGGCTTTTGTGCAAAAACCAATTAAGAGTTATCACCCGGATGCAACAGAAGCCACTGCTGAAGCTGTTCCTTGGTTGCCATCTATTAGTTGAAGTGAGATGTAAGTCTATAAGGTCACCAAACTCAGTTCGACACTTCTTTGACACCACGTCTCCCCATGTCCGTCTCCTCCAAAAAGCACTGCTCACTTCCTGTGGGCACAGTGAGGCGTGAAACCAGACTCCAACCGGTTGACACTTCCACACGGCACCAGGCCCGTTGGGAACGGTCGCCGAGATCGAGATCGATTCAGCCAGGAGGTGCTTTGAGTGCTTGGAGTGCTTTGAGTGCCAGGAGGTCATAGGTTTACCTATATAACATCCAAACCAGGCCGACTGACAATGCTAGCGAGGTCCGGTGGGTCAAACAATCCCAGGACCCAGGGAGAGCAATCCCCTGAGAACTTTTCGACGCCCGGCTCACGTGGTGGGGGTTTTGACCCAGCTCCTCATGCATCAACCATGCCCGTTTCTTGAAGCAAAGTGAATTGACCAGATTTCACCGGTATCTATTTGATAAACATGTGTCTAGACTTGATTCATGTTGATTCCTTTCATGACATGTATCATTGTATCTGTTATTGGGATGCTAACACTCCCTTCCACCAATGTCCTTGAAAAGCACATGCCCCGTCGCAAATCGCGCTGCAGTTGCTCACGTCGTCTGCACCTCCGCCCGATTCGGCAGAAAAGGGTCGGCTGGCCCGCAGGAGATGTTCATACAATAGCGATTCTGAAAAAGAGTGGAGCTATTTGCGTGACTACTTCGAAATGTCTGAACTCAACGTGATGAACCCAATAATAAGCACCCCAGCCCAAAAGTACAAGTACGATCGAATAATTACGCAGCCTCCTCCCCTCTTTCTGCGTGATCAGTACATCGCGAACGCTACTTGTTTTCTCCCCGGCACCAGCGACGTCCAGCAGGTAGAGGCGGATGTCGTTGCCCATCTGGCGACTCCAGCGCCGTTCCAAGGCCAGATACCGAGGACCTGACTATGAGTGGATTTGTGGGTGTTGCTTGTAGAGGAGATAGATGGATATAGAGAAGCCATCTAGAAGACAAATAGAATCCACGTCATACACTCAACTAAGCGCTGAAGGGGAAAACAATCACGAGAAGTGGTTGCTGTGATGTCACTCATTCATTGCTAGCTGGGATGTGACGGCCACTAGGTCGTTGCTCAGCTGTAAGTGAGCCATCTAGATGTCTTTTTCGCGGCATGAGCGTGCTCAGAACTTGGTGGAGTTTTTGTTGCCCAGCGATACCCCCAAACATTTAAGGTTTAGGTAAAGTGTGAAGTGTTCCTCCTTCATCATGACCAGGAATTGTGTGGAAACAAGGAATTGATGTTGTTTTTTCATAGTAGTGGGTCATGAGTCATGAGTGTTCATCATTTGGT